TGAAAAATCCTGGCTACGCCTCTGCATTACCAAATTCTCCAATTTCACATCCTAAGAATTGTACGGTAGACAGAAATTAAATGAGAATTACTGGTGAGGACTAGGATTATAAGAGGGTTAACTATGTCGTAAGTTATATTCCTAATAAACGTTAATTAACAAATATCAACATTTAGTAATCGTTGCAGGTATAGATGAGCTAAAATCATTTTTCTTTTGTATGAGCTTTACTATCCGATCACTTATTTTAGTATATTCTAAAACAGCTATTCACCTCCACTTCAGTGAATGGTTGTTAAATATTCGTTGAAACGGTTTCGAATTGTTTCTAAGGAAACACTTGTATTTGAAATTTAATTAAAATTCAGTCGTTGTTCCAAGAGAAGGTATAATACCAGTTAGAGGTTGCCCTACTTTAGGTGGCTTGTCATTTTTTTACCGGTTTTGATTAAGTTTATTTAACCTAATAGATAAACTGAGAAATCGGCTTACATTTGATATCACCCCGGTCACTACCAAGATCAACGAATTAATTCTCTGATCTTATGACCACGCACATACTGTTTTTTCGGCCAGTGGCGAAAATTTCGTTTTCTATATTAAGGTAATAATGTCTTAAACTCTGCTAAACAGTCCTTGGAAATTACATCTAAATCGTCAGAATAAAATCGTAATTTGAAGTATGATTTTACGATTATACTGATCAAAACTGAGGAAAGAGCTTGAGCTTGCAATCATTATCCAAAGAATTGTGACCAAACCAAAAATATGGAATTTTTTAAAGATAATCTCGTTTCAAGGTAGGACAGAGCCTTCTGAAATAGCTTCTTTTTTTTTTTTTTTTTTTTGACAGAATCAATTCGTAGTATGTCATGCCAATATTAGTTGCCAGCCTAAAATGAAACCACTCGCTTTTACATGTAATTGCTTTTGTCGGAACTCATGTTTGTCAGAGAAAAATCCACGCGCTTGCATCTGATCTTTTTATGCGTACAATGCGCTCTTTTGTCTAAAACATGTCACGGTGGTGCACTCGAGTTCCACACGGATCTTTTAATCCGTAATTATAGCAGATTTGGATTTCAGGCAAGACCGGGAGAACCCATGAATTAACAGTTTTCCTCTCAAAAAACATAATTCTCGAGTATAAAGATGTGAAGTCTGTCTGCTCTTAGCTTCTTCTTAGCTTGCTCATGTGCCTTGAGGCGGACTGATTGTTAATTTGTACATCTTGAGCATAAATTTTAAGCCAGAGGTTTTAAAGGTTAATTTTTATCCGGTTTTTTTTTTTTCTTTTTTTTTTTTCTTTTTTTTTTTTCTTTCATCTTCGCACCGACATATGGTGTTTAAAAAGTATTAGCTATATAGTAGAAGAAACCAGAATTGTTGAGTGTTGAACGAAATTCTATGCACCTAGAAATAGCTTCCTGGATTTACCTTGAGGACTGAGCAAGGAAGGCTCCATTGAGTGGTGTAAAACATCGACATTCCTCTTCTTCTGAATGGTGTTCTGCGACGTTTTCTTTACAAGAAATGATCGTGGCATCTTGGCGGATCTTTTTGAACTGCAAAAGAGCAAAGCAAAGGCTATTTACATTCGAAATCAACGTGGCATGTTTAATTTCGGCGTGAGGATGAAACGAAACCTCACGTACATAGATATTCACAAGAGCGCCGATATTCACAAGAAGCGGTTCCTTAACTGAACTCTCTCTCTGTCTCTAAGTCTCCGGATATTTTTTTTCACGTGCGCTTTCTGTCTTTTCATACAAGCCAGTAACCCTTGTAAAATGTAGTAGCTTGTCAACCCTCTTAGACTATTATTTACCGGTAAAACCAGCAAACGTCTTCTTTGTCTCACGGACCTGTGGTGGAGTTGAGAAGGTTACAGCAGTGAATGATACAAGTTTAGTAAAGCCGTGTTTACTTATCTGCATCAGCTGACTCAACAGCGATTTACAGGACATTGCGATTGGCGGAAGGGTTTAAACACATTTTCTTTAATTTGTAGACAATGAAGAAACCTCTTTCATTTACAGGAGTAGTCGCTAATTCATGTTACTTATAGCACGGTCTTCCTTAATTAACGATTTTCTTTCATGACGACAATAATCGGACCAAAAGGCAAATAATTACTACTCTTCGTTTAATGAAAGAACATTTTTGTGGCTACAGAAACAGTTACTTGGAGATGAAACTCGGTACTTTGCTGTTCTTTTTCTTGCAAAATACGCTTTGCGAATTTTCAGCATGTTATTTAATTTGCTATTTTGTATTCTACTGGCATAAACCGACCACCTTTTTTTTTCTCTCATTTCATGCGATTTCTTTGCAAAGAACCCATTCTGCAAGACGTCGAAAAAATTTTAGCGTTCTCACCTTCGCAATCTCACTTTCTCTAACTTTGAATTAGCTTCAAGCCGACCTACAGTCTTTCCTTTCTCACACAGCTTCAAAGGATCACTTGTTAAGTGTATTTGATTTCTAGAAATCAAAATTGAATTTAGAAGTCATAAAGGTACATCCTTTATTAAGACTCCTTGAATTTACTGTAATTAAGTCAAATCGGTGCAACATACGAAATCGAAGTCTCTACAAACAAAGAGAGGTTTTTTTTTCGAAGGCGATGTCGCTGAAATTTTTGAAAAAGCTTAATTTCACGTTTTTAACCCTGGATAATTAAAAAGAGTGTCAACGCGGAATACTCTTAAAATAGTATGCTCTATACTTACCCTCTCTCTTAAGATATCTTCGCAGCGTTGATAATTTTTTCGGATATGTTAACGAGTTCAAAGATGCGTTGCCTGTCTCACAGGGAAATCAAGTATACGTTTACAGATTGGTTCTCGTTGGTTACATACAAATAATACATGCAAAATACTTCGGTGTTTGCTCAGCTTTTGTCAAATTTAAATCTAAATGATGTCATTGTTCAGTACGACAAAAGCCGAACGAGGTTTTTCAGTTGCAATAGCTCAACTTTACAAATTCTTGTTCAAACGATCGTGGTTCACACTGCCGGGTAAATTATAATAAAAGTGAGGGAGATCTTTCTTTAGAATAAAATATTGGACTGGATCTGATCATAGGCGCTTCAATTCAAGTCATCGGCAATTGGAAAAAAGAAGAAGATTCGATCAAAAAATATCTTTATGTTCTAAGTTGTATTTAGAAAAGGAATACAATAGCGCTTTTAGCAGTATTACGAATTTGAATTACCGCTTTCATTGTAATTCAGTATTTTTACACTTTGTGTTTTATATTTTGGAACAAAGAGCTAATTTTCTCTTGTATAGCTAATTTTTATTTGGAATATAATTACTTATATTTGAAGATCCTAGCAGCGGCAAGAAATCTAGACTGGCGGGCGCGCGGCCGGGCGGAAAGTTCTCGAACGCATTTTTTCTTCTCAACTTCCTTTCCGTTTATCTGAGTGTGAAGGGTTTTTTTCGGGGCGGCAGTTACGTGCTTTTAATTGTATCGTGCTTTTTCCCATCAAACGAAAGCTTAGAGCAAACATGAAGTGATTTACTGGTTTTGGTTGACCAAGTAAATTGCATTTTGATGTTCGTATCATGCACTGTATGAGGATAGGAGATTGACGAATCGAAACTTAAACCGACTTCGAATCGCGTTAAATTTATTTTTCATGCTTTATTTTGCTTTTATCGCTGGCGAGAAAGCAAGCAAGCCGACACCGTCGTCAAATTAAGGATAGAATTTCCAGTACGTTATTTGCTCAGTTTAATAAAATCGATATCAAATTCCTATAAATATGAAATAATTTTTAAACATGGTTTGTAATGTTAACCCAAGAATTTTTGTTGTTATTAATATCAATACATTTTATTAAAAACTACAGAAAAAAAATGAAAGGAATAATAAATATTTTTTATTAAAAACAAAACATTTTATTAAAAACTACAGAAAAAAAATGAAAGGAATCATAAATATTTTTTTCAATACTGCGTCATGTTCCGCATTACTCAGTGGTCGATGCATCGCGGATGTTTTTCTTCTTTTTTTATTTTTTGTTTCTTTTCTCTTTTGTTGGCCTTGTTGTCAAACGATGGAGATCGCAGCAGCAGAAGAAAGGTTTTTTTTCGAAGTAAAATACATCATCAGCCACTTAAATGATCGCCTAGTAACTAGCCGCTGAATAAATTCACTGAAGACTCGGGCCGGATATTTTTCTTGCCTTTTCAAATTTGTCTCAATTCTATAGCCAGCTGGTGTGCTTTAACATTCCTAGAAAGCATTTTGATGCGACAAAATCATGCGCTATCGACGCCGTGAAGACAAAACTTGTAATACTACATTATTTGATTCAAAGAGGGTCAGATTTTATCACAAATTGAAAATAGCGCAAACTTTTAATTTTTTCTGTCAAATCTACAGTTAAATTATAATTACTCGGCCGTGACACAATGATAGCTACTCTGATTGCACGTGTCAGTGCCACCAACAAAAGCTATCAAAACCTTGATCACCAGTGGTCTTTCAGTTACAAAGTATTCCATCTGTTCGAGATGCGATTGCAACAATAATGGTATCACTGAAGTATAATGCAGTTTTAAGCCCTTCTATGTAAACAAATAAAAAGCTCTGTTAAAAAGCTGGCTTTTTGTAAGTGAATAAAACCCCCTACCGAAAATGAAATAATCTCCCCAAGAAAAAGTAACGAAATATTTCTAAAGTTGAAAATTGCGTTTAATGATTCGTATGTTGACTTTTGAACTTATATAGGGCTTACCAAATGAAATTTCGTGTCGATTCGATTCCTCTTATGACGCCCTCAGTTAGTCTAAAGTACTATTCTGACAGAGCAAAGAGAGACCAAAATTTTAGTTTGCATATGCTCCAGGTTACATAATAACCTTTCTATTAGTCAAAAGTTCGATAAGCTTCGCTGGTAATCAGAAAATATCGCGAGCCTTATGCTACCTTGTCCCCCTATTTTTCAGTATCCGATTTTTATCATCTCACTCAAGTTATGAGAGGGCAATACTTTTAAGCGGGGCACACAAAATAGCTATTTAGTGATACAAGGGAGTGTTTACGGAGCAGGTGTGATCTGAAAGAAGTGTAACTAATTTGATACGTGCGGTACGATTTTTGGGCCTCTTTTCACCTCAGTGATCTACCAAAAAAACTGAAGTTTTACTCTATGATAAATTGGCAAAGAAAATCAAAACGTCTAAGTTCGATCGCGTCTCTATCCATTCATTCATTCAAAGACGTACAAGCCAAACAGAAATATTATGCCGCCTACCACATTGAGTATGAATTTCTTTTCTTGGCTCACCTTGAATGTTTTTTACAAATGTGATACATCTTTTTTTTTTTTTAAAGGGGTATCTTGGAGGGAAGATCAATCAAAGATAACGAACATTCTTACCTCTTTGGAAAAAACCCCTTTAAAGTCAAGAGACTCACTGTCAAATTGGTCTTTCAATATGATATTCAATTTCTAGACGTTGCTTCAATAATGATTAGCAAACGCCTGTTTTGTAAAGAAACTACGCACGATAAAAGGCTGTGAAAACAATAGCACATGGGGAAACATATCGCTATGGAAACCTTTATTTTTCAAAAATATACTTTGTCCAAAGGATTTAAACCAGAGCGCCGTGTTTTAGACACAGACTGAAGACGGCAAAAAGTTGACTTCATTTTAAAGTTTTTTCTTCAATTCGCATTCTACTTTTTAGTTATTTTTTCTTGAGAGCTAGTTATTTTATTGCTTCTTATTTCATCGATCAATTACTTGTTTATCACACATTCAAAGTCGACATTTAGAGGTGCCTTTGTTTATGTAGCTCGGCTGATTCGCTGAAAAGAGACATTCGCGGCGAAATGTCCACTTATGTAAATTTCATCTCGGTGATTCTTGAATAATTGAAAACGCTCTGGAAGTCACGAACTTGAACTGCGCTCAATCTTACGAAAGCGTCTTTACAGAACACCAAATTTACTTAAAGTTCACCTGAATTTTAAACCGCGGCAAGGAAAATCGTATCAAGTGTCGTGGGATATTGAAACCATCTATTGAAAATAATTTGAACTTGTTTCTTTCAAGTAATTTTCACCTGCCGTCACTTAAACAGCTGATACGCCGGTGAGAGCTGATTGTAGGGCTGCGACTTAGTGTTTCGCGTATCATTTCAACTTCTAGAGTCCCGCTTCGCAAAATCAGCTGTGATACCCCGTAGAACAACAAATTTCCGTTCATTTGAAATTTTTTTTCCCACCAATATAAAAGGGTCGATTTATGAACAATTTAATTCTGTGTTTGCACAGCTCTCGGACAGTGTTTATGCATTCTGTCTGTTTCACTTAATGGAAGTAATAATAATGACTGTCATTTCGGTTGAAGAGTGATTTTCTTTATGTTAAAAGCAAGCTTGATTTGAAAACGATCGCCCTACATAATTTTTTTTCTTTCTCTGACTGCCATTTTGACTTGTTGTAGAATTAAATCAATAATACCGATGTTCAAAAAAAATCTTTTAGCAAAAGTAAAATTTTGAAAACTTTAATTATCACGAGTTGTGGCAAAGAAAAAACATTCTTAAGCTTTTCCTTTCCTCAGTGCCTCTGATTTAGTAGTTCCTCACCGAACTTAAGATTTAACTAGTTTTAGTGACCCTCACTAAGAACTTCTGTGGCTTTCCTTGGTAGTATTTATAACGACAAAAATACAGAAAAACACATCATGCTGAGAAAACAGCTAATCATGTGACGATCCTACAATGGTAATTTGTATATCTGTATCGCGCATGTACGAGCAGTAGTCTCAATCTTCTTTGCATGGAACCATCTGGTCACTATGTCATTCTTTCTCTCCGAATATCCCTCCATATTTATGATTGAGCGATGTAGAACTTCAGTGCCTCTGATTTAGTAGTTCCTCGCCGAACTTAAGATTTAACTAATTTGACGGACCTTCACTAAGACTTCTGTGGCTTTCCTTAGTAGCCTTTATGACAACAAAAAATACAGAAAAACACATCACGCTGAGGAAATAGCCTATCATGTGACGATTCTGCAATGGTAACTTGTAAACCTGTACTGAGCATGTAAGAGCAGTAGTTTCAATCTTCCTTACATGAAGCCTTCTGGTCACTACGTCATTCTTTCTCTCCGAACATTCCCTCCATATTTACGATTGAGCGTCGGGGAACCAAAAAAATTACGAAGATAAAGAAAAAAAATAAAATGCTGAGTTGCTTAGCTAGGTGGGAAAATTCCCAGCCCGGCTATTGCGAATCAACAAAAAACTCAAGTAAAAGATCTGAGTAATCCTGCTAATCCGCAATTTCACCTTAACTTATCGAACCTGTCACTTGTACTTGCGAAAGTGCGACACTAGCTTGATTTAGGTAGCCAGGCCAGCGTAGGTAGTTGATAGGGTTGCAAGCAGCAATAACTCTGGCCTCAGTCTCGACTTAGCGTCATTGATTACGGCAAAATAATTTCCAGCGTGTGTGATGAACAAAAGCTTTATCTGGCGATGTTCCGCGGTAAGTCGCAATTTTGAATGATCCTCGACCAACGAACGCCAATTATGTCATCTTTCTTAGCAATCTGTTTCAATTGATCCATTTAAATGAACTTACAAAACAAAAATATGATACCTGTTAGAAGCTCCTTTACAAATGAGTTGACGATAACCTCGTGAATTCTGCACCGGAGTGTATTAGGGATATGAAACAAAGGCCCAAAGAGATTTTCCAGTTGACTGACCGATCCCCGGCTATGGCAAAAGTTTGATGTGTTTCCTCAATTCTTCAATTCTATGACGCAGATAAGCAGATAGTATGTCACAAAAACTAATGCAGAAATTCAGAATATGGAACGTTTCCCATTCACCTTTAATGAGATCTATAAAGTGACGATTAGTGTTCATAACAATCTTTACAGCTGAAATCACTGCAAAGAAATTGCTTTATACAACTGCTTTAAGCCAGGCGCCAGAGTGAAGTGTTGTAAAAGCTGGATTTACAGACTTTTCTTTAATTTTTGACTGGCCACGTTAGCGGGTGAGAGAAAGCGATCGAGGCCTTTCCGTCTTTGAAAAAAAAAATTATTTTATCCTGTTTAGATTCCTCGTAATTTTAAGACACTGTAACCGAAAACTGTTTTTACAGCAAATAAGTGACAAAACACAGCAAACGCCTGTTTAGAAGACATACAAAACAGCGAAAACTACAACGAACTCCGTAAATGTAATTTACAGATTACTTTTGCTTTTTCATTTATTTATTTATTTATTTATTTATTTTTTTTTTTTTTGGGGGGGGGGATAAGCATATATTAAATATTTTATTGACCAACCCATGCTTGGTTAAATTAGCCTGAACCTGGCATCGCTCTTTTCTTTTCCGTGCAAGAGGGCTAAATAAAGAGAAACGGATGAATTTTAAATGTATGAAAATCATACATGTGTACTGCGGTTTCATGAAATGTATGAAAGCGTTCCTCGCGGTAATAAACCCTACTTATCTAGTAGGTGAAAACAAGGCCTGAGTTTTTTCTGGCCGTATTTCCGCCTACTAGACAGGTAGGGTTTATTGCCGTGAGGAAAGCTTTCACACAAAAAGAAACGGGTTAACATATATCAAGCCATCTTATTGTGAGAAGTTACATTTAAATCACTTCTGGGAGTTAGCGGGTTAAAATATTGACCACAAGCAATAGAATGTAGATATATCGGAAGCAATTTCTCTCACGCACAAGTTTTCGACATTTGCTGGGTTTGAAATGAATTATCTTCAACTGATTAAGAGAGACACCGCTCGATGATAACACATTCAACACGTCGAACGCACGCAATACTTACACTGTTAAAAAGATGAAAATAATCATAGGTTTAACCTAAACGCGGAGCTCCGGTTAGTTTATTTTACAGCCTCTCGCTTGATAAGGATGAGTTCCTTATTGGCTGCTGAAGAGTTTATTCATACGAATGTTATTATAATACAGAAGTTGGTAAAGAGTGAGGGCAGGATTTCCTTTCTCCATTTAATAAATAAGGAGATTGTCATGATGAATAATTATAAGAAAAAAGCAAAATGGCAACGCAATAACCACAACTACCTGAAGAGGTATCAGTAACATAAAATTTAATCCACTTTTCTTTACATAATTGTATCGAGTAACAACTCCATGAAAGATACAATAAATATATGAAGTTCATATATTCACTGACCAGGTCAGTGGCTCGAATCCCGTACAGGCCTGATTTTTTTCAGGTCTGCTTTTCGCTATTGCATAAATAGCACTATCTACTGCGAAGGATCGTGCATCATACGTAACTCTAAGAAAGAAAACGACATTGTGCTGCCGTGGTGTGCAAGGGAAACAAATCGTTATCAAGATGATTTGAGAAGATTGAATCACTCACCGAAAGGAAGTTTAAAAACTGACGTAGGGAAGGTAATGGATTTGTCTCTGCTTCGACGAGGAGTTCAAGTTCGCTTTTTATTACGTGCAAATCAGCGGGAGTTACCTAGACCAGAGTTAATTCCCCTCTATTAACTCTGCCTAGACTATACATTTAACCGTATGTGTTTCTCTCAACTCTAACTAAAGGGCAATACGCGGTTTAAAGAGGTTTTAAATACGATGAATACTTGTATACCAAAAGGAATGATTTTCTCACATTCCCCCAGCCATATCTTCGAATGTTTACAATGAGTACACAACGAGAGTAAATAAATCGAATGTGAATCAACACCAATACTTCATGAGAGCAATTTTCAAGTGAACGTCAAAAGTAATCCGGGACTGCTTTGTTTTCGCTTTATGTTGTTATGTGATTGGTCAAGAAAACTCGCGCCACTTTCTCAACCAATCAGATTCAAATAGCGACTTGGACGCCAGCGTTCTCCCGCGCTTCGAGCAGTTCGCTTGTTTTTACTTCAAGCTGATTGGCTCTTTGTGAAATTTCCCTTCCTATGATTGGCTGTTGTGATTGCTTTGATTTTGGTTTCACAACACTCAATTGAAAAGTGCTCTCTTACTGTATTTCACCGCGAGGAAGTGTCACGACGGTCTTAATGATGTTTTCAGCAAACTTGTTTAATCGCTAATGTGAATTATAACCATTATATGGCAAATCCTCCTAAAACCTCGGTAACATGCATAGAAGTTTTTCAGCTCCGTCTTCCAGTTGAAGTAACGTACACGGTAAACTAGATCTGCGCATGGCAAAGTGGGCAGTGATTAAGGGAACTGATCTCTTGCTCGTAGGCCCGGTGTTTGCAGGTGCCACACATCCAGAACTGATAGTCCATTAATGGACGTCCAGTCACAATGCACGTGGGAAACTTCGTGTCACAGTTTGGACAAATTTGGCTCCTATAAGTTGGGAGGAAGGTTAAAAGAAATAAAATAAAAACACCTACATTTACGAGGTCACTCAGAAGCTAGCTTCCTCTCTACATACCACCATACAAACACTGATCGGTGGTTAGAACTTCTCTATAAGTTGTTCACGTTATTCGTCTTCATCAAACGTCACTCAAATTAATGAAATAAGTACTAGTACATTATGACCGACTATTAAACAAATAACACGATGGACAAATTTCAAATGCAGTGGCAAGGAGAACATCGTAAGCTTTCAACGCAGAAGACCACAATCTCCATGAATGAAAGAAAACTTGGTGGTATACGCGCTGGACCTGGGACCAAAAGATCTAGTCTTGGCCAGACTCTTTCTCATTCTCTTTACAACACAGACATCTGGATAAGCCCCGGAAATAATGAGCCACAAGGCTCGTAAGACGTGACATCGACCTCACGTCACCCTAAATTAAAGTAAAACATCTGTAAACGTACCAGTCTGGAATCATTGTTTCGCAGCTGGTGCACTCCGCCTTGTTACCACGTGAGTCTTTGGGTGAATGTCTGAAAAGAACGTACGGAAAGAAAGGGTTAAATAACTCCTTCAATAAAAGTTTAAAGGAAAAAAATGTGGGGGGGGGGGGGATAAACTTGCTATTGATGGGTATCTCGAAAGTTGGGGGGCGTGTAATAATAATCCTAGTCGCTTCATGCTGAGGAGACCAGAAAAACTCAAGTTGGATGGACCACCTGACTCGAGTAAAGACTTAACCTACCACACTTATGACTTAAAATGCGCGAGAAGTGAGACAATATATCTCTTGGATGACATTTCTCTTTCTTTTTTTTTTTCTCTTTCTTTCCTTTCTTTTTTTCTCTTTTCTTCTCTTCTTCAACTATGTGCCTAAGAATGTGTTGATGTTTCGTGGAGAAATGCATTGTGGGTGACTACGAGGAGTGAAAGAGTTAGCTTATGATCAGTCGAATTTAACGCTAAAGAGTCAATGTTCACATACTTTGTAAATATTTCCAGGGCTAGTTCTTCGTATGCATTTTTCTGTTCTTGAGTCAGACTTTCAATCGACTCCAACTTTATAAAGGCCTGCAAAGATACAGAAACATTTTCAACCCTTAGACTCAATATGTCAAATTCGTTCCTCTCTCTTCAAGCTGAGATAAGCTGTCTAGGGAAATGGTTCAGATAATTTGGTGTGGTAATTGTAATGACAACAACCTCTAGATTGCATAAAATCCTTCAGTAACATCTTGCATAATGTTGTCACTGTTTCACGCGAGGCTTTGAACTCTTGTATTTGTACATCTCATCGATTTTCGAGATTGTTTTAAATGAAATTACAGATGTAGTGACGATGAAAGAAAGGTGGCAAGGATGCCGGGCTTGAATTTTAAATTTATGTCATCATCTTCCGTGGGTCGGTGGAAGACCAATTGATCAGATGTACACATTACAGCCACCGAAGCAACGACAGGAGAACAGTCGAAAAGCTAGTAAACAGTTCGCCTTTTAAACCGATGGAAATGTAGTCTGTGGCAAAATCGCTCAGGGTGTATCGATGCAATTAGCGTTTGTGTTTTGACCGATCAAAGCGAGCAGAGTTAAGTCTTTAAACTAATAAGTCTCGGAGAAGTAAATGGAGCCAGCGGAACAGTACTCGGTGGTACATACTGAGAGGAGAAAAGAGTTACCTTAGAACAAGTCCCAAATGCCCTGTTGGCACAGCTGACAAGTGCTAGAAGGGAATGGAAGCATACTGGATCCAGGACATCTTCGTAATCACACAAGCGTAGGGCCTGGAGAGAGGTAGGGAACCAGCATAGAACAAAGAATAAAAGTTTCGCATATCACTTAATGAAACCAATAGTTTTGCAGACATTCTGCTGTAAAATTCTTACCGTTTTCATTGCAGCATCAATTGCTCCTTCATACATTTGTCTTTGTGCCAAGAGGAAGAAGTGGTATGCCTGTAAAAGGAGACAAAGAAAAAGCAAGTGTCTCAGTAATACGAGTCATTAGCATATTATCTTGCAACTTAGAATATTTAGTTGGAGATGTATATGCGCACGATTTGAAATGACGTTCATTTCCATGGCTCTCACCTAGACAGCGCTCCAAACTTCGACCATTTTGGTCGCCATGGCGAGAGCGAAAAAAATTTGGTAACCATTTCATGAGTTTAAGGTCACAAAACGGCGTCTTTAAAGAATTGGAGCTGGATGCCCTGCAGCAAACCCACTTGACGAGATTGTTGCAATTGGCGTATTACCAATAACGGGAAACTTGGTCGCTTGATTTTTACAGAATGCCGTTTTACGTGGTACATATCATTGCCTTTACATGCCCATCTATGGAGGAGCGACGTGAGCAACACGTAAAATTAGAAAGATTATCCAAAGGAGTGTTAATCGAGGCGTGACTGTTGTCGACTGAGCCTAATCACAACGACCATTCAGAGAGCCAGTGAGAACTCAAAGTAGCAACAAGGAGACTTCTTCCTAAACCACAGAAAAGAGAGAAGGGAAAAAAAGGAAGAAAAGGAAGAAAAGGGAGAAAAGGAAGAAAAGGAAGAAAAGGAAGAAAAGGAAGAAAAGGGAGCCAGCGACAAATTTCCGATTGCCTTTAGTTTCGCATCTGATTACGTGCGAAGATGATGCGTGTTCTACAAAGCAATCACAAAACAAAGTAGAACAGGCGCAACGCAATCCTTTTTACCCCAAGTTGAAAACTGTCCTAATTGACGCTTTCTTGGTTGTCACCGAACTGATCTCCTAAAGTCTGACTAAAATAGTGAGAAAAAAAAAAAAAAAAAAAAAAAAAACCAACAACAACAAAAGAACCTCAGCTCCTCTCCAAGCGTTGTCGATGATTTTGCTCTCATCTGTAGCAATGGCGTCCTCTTCAAGCAAACCAGCCAGGGCAGACGTCGCCTGAACAAAAACAAAAATACCGATAGTAAAACCCCTTGATAGAAAAAGGCGAGGGGCACGTATCGGGAAACACATGCTAAACGAAATGTTCATCTATCTCCTCGGTCCCAACTTCTTTCTTTCCTCACCAAGTTGTTCAATTCGCGCACAATTAGAAATAGAGTTTGTCTGAAAACAAAAATCAAGCACAGAAACCTCTGCGAAGAAAACTTCATCTAAAAATGGGAAATTTTCTCCGATACCTTTTCTTATAACTGTTGCAGTGACCGAACGAAAATTACCTTTTCATAAATAGATTCAATGCTACACATTAGGCTAAGCTTCACCAACCTCTCTTGTACTTCTCTTTTCTTTCCCTGAAGCCGTTCTCATCTTTGTCATTTTAACGTGTTCATGGTAATTTTCCACCTACAATTAATGCAAAACATCTTTAATGACATTAAGTATCTTTTGCATTATTACCTCTATTGTGGAAGGTTAAAAGGTTAATTCAGCCTTGTACTCCATCTGGTCCGAGCTTATTCCAGCTTCAGTTGCATTAAGCGCAGTTCGATTGAGTGACGCAAAAGCAACACCAAATTAAACAACCAAACAGAACAAAGGGAATATCTTAGTGAGCCAATGAGCACTCGAGGTAAAAACAAGCAAACTGCCTGAAGGGCAGGAAAGCGTGGGTGACCACGTCAAGATTGGTTTTGAGTTTATAGTATTGAGTCTATACAAAGCTCGAACCCAGACCCCTCAACCCCAAGTCTAGAACGCTGACCTATATATATGAAAAAAAAGAAGAGATCTGTATATACGTACCAGCAGTGCAGCCAAAACGTACATTTTCTTGGCACGAAGTGGATTTGTCGTAGCATCTGACGCTTCGGAAGCAACCTTAAATCAACAAAAGAGAAAGTTCCGGCAAAGACAAACTTCTTACGCAAAGGCATTGTCTCTTGATTAATTGTTTCTGGAAAACAGGTTACTGATACACAATGAGGAGTTGCTGAATACTGTTCAAATAAAAGCACTGAAAATCTGACGATAAAAGGAAGTCGTGACTTGCTCTTTATATAAAATCCCGCTTAAATAGGACTTTTCGCCCTTCTGTTTTGTTGCCCCACTTCATATCTTGTGAGAGATCTCGAGAGATTATGCTCATTGAAAATCAATCATATTCATCCTTTTAATGAGGATTATATAGGATCTGTAATGAACGGTTAGAAAACGAAACGAAAATTGTCCATTCCTAACATAAATTTGTCTCTGTTGTTTCTCAATTTCATTCTACCCAATGTACAAATAAACAAACTCTTACCTTGAAAAGGAGTTTAGCAGCATCGATGAAATGGTTTGCTTTGCGGTATCTAAACATGGTCAAGAATCGGTGCAAAAAACGGTGTTGCGCGAGCCATGCCTAAGCTGCACAAACGCCTTAATGCAGTAAAACAAAGTCGTCATTTTATACATAAAAGTTGTTTCTTTCTACAAGGGTCAAATGGTGTTCTAGTGATTTGGGCGCTGCCTGGAGGCCCGAGTCGGATAAATTAGTTCTGGACTAACTGACATGGATCCCGCCTTGCAGAATACATCCAGGAATTTTTTTATATAAGGAGTCTGTAAAAAAAAAAAACAAAAACAAAAACAAACAATCGGACCAAATCACACTACTCCCCTTCTCCTTTCACTCGCAGTTACAAGTCACACGCCACCGATTGCTACTATGCGATCCTGCCGTTATGAAATATTAGGGACATCAGGGAGCTTTAGCAACGAGAACGGCAACGGCAACGAGAACGGCAACGGCAACGAGAACGGCAGAAACCAATAGGCTTAATGAGCAAAAACAATCGCCCTGCACGTGCGTTTAACAGTTTGGTACATTTCTTTGCCGTTCTCGGCAAAACAACAACGCGAAATAACCAAATTTTAGGTTTTCTCGACAACATGAGCGGATGACAGTTAATTTTTCTTTCTTTTTCCTTACTTTAACGCCGTTCGTAGTGATATAGTCCCTGAATAGTTCGCCAGCATTTTCCAAGTGAAACACATCGGAATAATCTCGAAAGAGTTACAAAAACGAAAAGTTAGATTTCGGCACAGGTTAAGAGAATACTCAAACTTGTCAGGTAGATGTTGTCATCTTGATCTAACTCCAAATTCTTGTAACTACCTTAAGAGGAAATCTGTAGCAGCTAGAAGGGGAGAATCAAAAGTCAGATCTTGGGAGTTAGAAGAATGAGGGTTTGATTGACACACATTGCATGGCGCTTAGACCATGTCAAAGCTCTTTTAAGGCTGTTTAAGGGGATTTCTACCAACCCCCTCCCTGCCCTAGACGGGGTGCGGGTCAGTAGAGGCGATTGAGTCTTTGGAAGCTGCTTTTGGCAGTTCGTATAACAACGTAAAAAGCGAGAGAGTGTGCCCGATATGCGTACCTTAGTAAAAGCAAGTACTGCTTGCTCACACATTCCAACAGCAGAAAACATCGCAGCAATCTCCTGCAAAACAAGATGCAAACTTATCACAGGAAAAATACTTTAGAAATGATAATACGCACTACACCATACGTTGCCAAACATTTAAATATCCTCCAACCTTAAGAATGTACTAACCGTCAACAAGACGTGATTTTCTGGCAGTGTGTTGACCATTTTTTCAAGTCCGTTATAATCTTCCAGCATATAATAACACTCCGCCAGTCGAGCCTGGTTTCTTCCTTGCACGTAATAAGTGACTGCGTTCTGCCACTTCTGTCGGTCAGCGTAGTAATCACCGATTGCGTTCCACGCCTGCTCCAAGAGTTGGTCATCACCTAAACGAGGGACAATTTTCGAAAATAATCAGGGTTGAGTTTTGTATCCGGTGAAAGATGAATCACTTCCGCTAGACGCAGATTGCGTGAACATCGCGCTGTTTCGTGTGAACGAAGAGCTTAGCTTGTTGAGAAACACTCGTGCTGCGTCGATGGGCAAATAAAAAAATTAGTCATTTTAAATGTTAGCTAGCTCTGTTGATCATGCTCAAACGGTCAACTTAACACGGTTTTACTTGGACGTCGACATAGACCACTTTCATAAATGGCTGCCGTATAAATATTCTTTTGTTTAAATTTAAATTAGCCCTTCTGGCCTCGCTTGAGATAATGTATTCTTTTGAATTTTGTACTGGAGAACGAGGCCAGCAGGGCTAATTCAAATTTAAACAAAAGAATATTAATCCGGCAGCCATTTATGAAAGTGGTCTATAACAGGAGTATTCGCTTTGAAACTCCGCTAGTGCCTACATACGACTACAACATGGTTAAAAAGTTGATGATCACTAGCAATGTGAAAAAAATGAATGCTTAAAACAAAGGTGGAAAAATATTTGTCATAAAAACAATGAATTCAACCAAATCTCGTCATTACTGAATGTATGGGAAGTTGGAAGCTTTATATAAAAGAAAGAACTAAGAACTTATTTTGCACCATTCAAAATGTCCCCATGCAAACTGGTGAGAAATGTTCACAATACGTGAAAAGGTGCTTGAATTGTAATGTATGTTGCATGTGTAATGTTACTTACCACCTCCCCCTCCGGTCTTAAGAAGTTGAACGACTCTAAACCAGTCTCCAAGCTTCAATCTCAAGTCAACAGCAAGGTCTCTAAATAGAAATGAAAAACAAAACATGCTGCGGAAGGACTCTTATTATATTTGGAATCAACCTCCGCAAGAAAACGTAAAAAAAAATTCAGCTCTGATATAACAACATGCCATTTTACAGTTAAGTTACTTCACTTTGAGTGAGGCAGTGGGTGATCTTGTTGTAACAGAGACTAGTATCTAGTGAGCACGATAACAAAGTAATTTACATTTGGAAAGCAGCAACAAGGTCACCCTTATAGCCTCACTCCTGTTCAAAGGCTTGGTAACCAACCGCGCAACTATAAAATGGACTATTACAGGAAACGTTACCTTCTGTCCATTTCTAAGTACAGTCTTTCTGCTTCCTCGAATCGCTTGAAGTATGCGGCGACTTCAGCTTTTTTCTTGGTTTCATTCTGTTAAAAATACAAAAAGAAAAACAAACAAAAAAAACCGCAGTTTGGGTTAGACCTCGTATAAATAACCGGCTCGATGTTGTCGTCCGTCTGTACAGATTGGGATCACAGATAACGTCAAAATGAGTAAGAGCGCAAAAGAGGCTCACGAGGTCTAGCCGAGTGGATCACTACCGTTAATTAAAAACTGGATCATTGGATAATGCAATTCAAGACTTTTTATTGGCTTAGCCGGCATTATGGTATAGGAGCCAATACACCATAATCTACAAATATGGCAACCGTACGCGTCAGCTTAGAATTAAAAAGGAACTAAAAAATTCAAGATTTCGTAAAATTTGTCTAATATCTTGGGGGCGTTTTTAATAAAAACAATTATTCCACTCGCGCTTATTGGATAGGAGATGATTATAGCCAACTCGGCGCTACGCGCCTCGTTGGCTATCTATCATCTCCTATCCAACGCGCACTCGTGGAATAATTGTTAATTATACCACATTTTTTGATCCACATCTGTGACCTTTTACAGAACTGCCACACAGCAACATAAAACCTATTTGTTAAAAATATTATAAGTATGAACCAATTAGCTGTAAAATGCGTATTCAATCCAGCTTATCCTAGAAGTTACAAGTAAATCAAACAAAACTCACGTCTAACTTGGCAAGTCTCTTGACGAACTTAATTCCCTGATAATCCTGACATCGAACAAAAGCTTTCTCAGAAACTTCAAGATCCAGCCTTTCGAGCGACGATTCCGCCAAAAGACGCCTGTAAAAGATAAATGAAAATAAATATTTACGGTCATGATATTGATTTAGGGACCTTAACCAGTCAGGACGACAACGCCGAGGAAAACGTCGATTAAAAAAAAAATAATCAATATTTTTCGTGAGAATTTCGCGAAGAGCTGGATGAGTTTACTGTCTTTTAAGACGCCACACTGCAACTTCAGCATAACGTATGTGTGGAAAGTTGAATTCCAAATGGAAACTTAAATGAATTGCCGTCGTTTTTAGGTTCTCAGACCATGCAAATATCGGAGATTTCACGTTGTTGTTTCCAGCCATTTTACGGTTAACGAATAACTTCCTTCCTTTGTGATAACAGAAAACATTGTTACGGTAAACTTTTCTTTACGATTAACGGTTAAATTTGTCAATTTTTACGCCTAAAGGCTAAGTTTTTTAGCCGTTTTACGGTTAACCACGCTGAGACCCTCAGCTATGCAGAGCGGCTTAGGAATTATATCTACACTTTCTCTAACCTCTGCGAGCAGGGCCTCATTATTTTGGACGCGCTCTTCTCCACCGCGGGAAGATTTGAGACGAATCGGGGAGAGGTTTGCTGGGGGTTCGGCACTACTAATTATCGGGCCTATACCCCTCGCAGACCTCTTGCCCGTCGTTCAAGGCCTCATATGTTCCCGCGGGCGAAAAAGCGCTCGTCCCGAAAGGCTAATAATAAGGAAGGCCTACTCGCTCGCTACACTTTCTCTAATGAATTTTCTATCCTACCAAAGTCGCGGGTGGGGATTATCTTCGATAAACTGGTAGGCATCTGGAATACCGACTTTCTCCAACAAATCGCGAGCATCTCTCAAAGACTGCGAACAAAAGCGAAAAGTAAGCGTCAAGGAAAGTTTGCGCTTCCGCGTTGCACACAATTGCTTCATGCGTGCTCTGTGATTTCATCAAGATATTTTAAAAACACTTTGAAGAGCACTCAAGAAGCTAGAGCTTATCCGTCTTAACAACGCCTAAGCGAACCCTTAGGCATCTCTCGTGCTCTTCAAACTTTCCGCGAGCTTTGTATTTCGATTAATGCATGTTGCCATATGAACCGATTGTTAGTCTTAGCTATGGCTCGACGTCGCACCCGTCTGCGAAAAAATAGTTTCCACATTTCCATCTAGAGCGCAGTACTATGAAATATCACAACAATATCATGATATTATCTTCCGGGCCTTACCTTTCACCCATAAGTGAGAAAGCAAAAGTAACCTACAAACATTTCTGAGAACGCTCCATAACCTCACCTTCACTTCTAAATCGATCAAGTTTTCTTTGTTTGGATGGTCAGGATCCTGTTGGGAAAGCAAAGCATGATGTTATCAAAACCCATGCAAACCCTACACGTTCGTAAGATGTTTCTTCCAATTTCAACTTCAAAACATCATCAGTAAATAGCTGCTGATAAAGTCGTCAAATAGATACGTCTTCCCCTTCACTAAATATTTTACCTTCATGATTTCGTCTAACAACACAGCCTTCACCTCCAGGTCGTTAAACTGACATATGTAACCAGAACTCAAAATCGGCTCCTAAAAACCAGAGTTGTAAAAGTTCAAATATCAAATTTCCAAAACACTAGAGCATACATGCACAGTTATCTTACAAAAACAGTCGACGAGATAAAAACTGTTTCACAAAAGGACGAAAAAGTTTATCACACTGCCACATGGAAGCAACAGAAAGTTAAATGCCATGAAAAAGAAAAGGAAATAATTTTTACAGACTGAGCAAAATTCGGTGAATACACCTTGTTATTTTGCATAGGACGGCTGGAAAACGTACAAGGTTTTAGACCGAACGTGCTGAGCTTTTGTTTTGTTCATTAACTCTTTTGAATAATTTGTTAAAAAAACCACAATGGCGACGAAATTGAGGACGTAGCGAAGTAAAAGATTTAATGAGAATAGCTACAGCTCAGCTGGCACGTATTCAACTTTTGTACACTTTTCAGCCGCCTAGTGCGAAACAATAAAGCGAAATCATCAAATTTTGCGTAGCCCGAAAACGGGGACTCCGACAGAAATAACTTATGTTTAATAATTCGAATTAAACACTGCATCGACATGCTCTGCTAAAGGAGAGATCTGGCGCTGTACAAGACATGTGACACATCATTCTCACGCTATGCATGTACTTCTTAGGAGAGAGAAAAGTTCTTTTTATAAGGGAAGTTTTTAATCAATTGAGGACGTCAAGTATACCTCCGGATCTAAGTTCCGGAATATGTACATTCTTGTCTTCTCCATCATCGCAAACAGCTCAGCATTATCCTGCGGGAGAAAACAGCGTTGACAAAGTAAAATCATTTGCTAGCCCCGCTAACAGGGACTAGACAAGGCGAATCGATTGGTTTCGCCACTTTGCCATCCGGGGATTTCCCTGCTATATTCTGGATTTCAGTCCCTGCTATAAGAGGTTTGCACGTTATGTCATCGCCGCTATGTTGGTGGACGTAAACAATAGATATCTCATTAGCTTCTTTTGTTCGTCCACCAGCAGTTGTTCCTTTCACCATTGTTAACTGTGTCTCTACAGATTGGTTGCAAACCACCTATATTCACAGCGCTTCCAGTCGGTTAACATGCTTGGAACTTCGAAGAAAGTTTTATTTTTTTTACATGAAAAAAAGCTTTTGCGGCGATAAATATAAAATTTACAACGTTCTGATACCCTCACCTCAAGCTTTATCAATAACGCATCTTTTCGTGTCCAATTAATATCAGAATTAAAATACGCGTTGTTAAACTGTAATTAAAACTGCATATGGAGGAGTTTGTGAGAAATTATCAGTGTTTGTCGCTATATATCTAACAATATCAAGGTGCTGTGTGATCCTTTGGGTGAGTTAAGTTGGGATTCTTGGGTGAAAAATCTGGGTATACAAGACAGCCACAAAAGTTCTTGATCTCTTTATTGCAAAACTGCAAACTGCTTTATAATTTGGATATGTCAACAAAGTTGAAATGGTAAATTGGCCACCGTAACGATTACAAAAGCTGACGTTTCGAGCGTTAGCCCTTCGTCAGAGCGAAGGGCTAACGCTCGAAACGTCAGCTTTTGTAATCGTTACGGTGGCCAATTTACCATTTCAACTTTGTTGACATATCCAAATTATTTCGTTACCCCCACCGACGCAGCCCCAAACAGTTTCTTTCGAAACTATCAGCCTTTATTCATTTGCAAAATGCTTTGATTGCCAATTATGCTGTTTTTCAACCGTAGCTAAACACTTTTTCTTAGATTTTTTTTTTACCGTGACTGTCATTCTCAACAAAAAGAGGCACACGAAACGCTTTAATTACCATAATTTCCATCTGAATGTCGAAAGTAACTCGGGATACCACTAAATTTGCTTTACTGAGCGCTGTGATTGGTCAAGAAAACTCTGGCCACCCTCTCGACCAATCAGATGCAAAACTAAAAACCAATCGCTTCGGTCAGTTTACTTGTTTTCCTTTAAGCTCTCATTGGTTCCTGGTAACAATTCCTTCATTTTAATTGGTCGTTGTGAATTATGTCGGTTTAAACTTACGTCAGCCCATTTCATGTCCCACACATCCTTCCTTTCAAACTTCAAATGTTCGCCGACCACAGTCTCATTCTTTTGCGAATCTGTCTTTCTCACGTCCTAGGGGAAAAGAAAAAGAAAGAGGCAAGAAACTTGGCTTTACTATAAGACAATTCTAATGAATCGTAAAAAAAATCATTCAAGTTTGTTCTAAGAAAAAACTTTTGATAAATCGAAGTTAAATTTCTTCGTAAAATAACAAAAGTAAAGTGTAAAGTTTCTTAACAAAAACTTACTAAATCAAAGAATGATAAAATTCCGGAGATATCAATGATTGCCAAGCGCCTGGATAACAGAAGAATAAATACATTGTCTGTTAAGAAATTGAGGTTATAGAGGGATACATATTGAAATGGTACAGTGTTGAAACCCTTAACGCTTGAGGGTGACTAGCATCTGATTTTTCAAGAAGGCATCGCAGTTGAATCAAACATAAGGTCCATGAGAATTAAGGAAATTATCACAAACTTGAAAAACTCTTGATTTTTAACTCAGGTTTTCTTGTCAGTCTCCAAGGGAATGTATAAAGAAGATCCTCTCATAAACGCTGCAAAGGTCTAATTTTGAGCCACATTTCTCGGTAGTTTTAATAATAAATTAATTATCAATTACTGTATTTACGGTAAATACTGAAATTTTAGTGCAGTTCCCTTGAATACGATGACCTCAAAAGCGACAGAAATTAAGGAAAGAAAAATGGAAAGAGAAGAAGACTCGATTCTGGTCCTTATACAACAGCTTTTTCTTACGATGAAGTACAGTTGAGTGACAGCTGGTGTGGGCGGCAGTTAAGAACATTCTTCATCTCCAGAGCAAGCTTTGGTAAGGAATAGCGATGAATGGTGCCTGATTCACGTCCCTAGGAAAAGTATTGGAATAATTGCAGCAGTACTCAGTTTTGACAGTGGTACCACGGATGCCAGTCTGTCTGTTTGAATGACTGAATGACTGAATGTCTGCTTATCTTCCCCTGCGCTGTATGACTGCCTATCTGCCTGATTGTACGTCTATCGGTCAGTCTGCCTGTCTGTCTGTACCCCTGTCTATTCGTAAGTCTATCTGTGTATCTGTATGCTTGCCGTTCTGTCTATTCGTAAGTTTGTCCACGTGTCTGACTGTGTATGCCTCTCTATCTGCCTCTGTATACCTGTCTGTCTGCCTTTCTGCCTGCTTATCTGATAAGATGCTGTCTAGCATATAAAGGACGCGACATAACGCTTTTAATCGCTTACCAGTATAAGGAGTTTATCAGAAGCACAAATACAACACACTGGATCGTGAGTTGGCTGCAAAGTTCAAAGTGAGACATGTATTAAAACTTAATGGGTACCAATAACAACATAGCCACTGAAACTAAACCGAAACAAAAATCAGAAGAAAAAAAAATTGCGAGCTGTGACGGGTACATCGTCTTTGGCGAGAACCACGCGTCCTCAGACGAATCACGAGTCGATCAACGTGCATTTTACACGCTTTACACGTTTTACACGTTTTGCACGCATGACACAGTTGCGCAAAATTTTTCTGTGTTGTGGGCTATCGGGAGTGACAAGGTTTACGTACCGCTAAAGCCTTGCTCACGTCTTTGATGCCTTCTCCAGCTCCTGACGGTACGTCGTCAATGTGAAACATTCTGCTCGCGAAAATAAAAGTAACAAAATAGAAATTAAGTAAACTCTCTTTTAAACCAACGTGTCGAAATTACCATCTTATCCTATCAAAACCTTGATTCATCAGTTTGTTTGTTTTCCTTTTACTTTTTCAAATAAATGAGTTCCCATTAATCGGGTCCTTGTGTTTGCGCAAAGGTTGTGGCATTAACTTCCATTCATGCGGAAGGAAGTTACAAAGTGTTACTTTAAAAACCCAGCAACTGCAAAATGTACCATGAACCCATGAAATAGAGCGCATGTTCACTCCCAGTACTGGCATAACAGGGGGACGATTAGCCACTCTAAATTCTCGTTAGCAAGCACGGTCAACTGTCTTTCATGTTCAAGTTCTCGAAACAGAGACTGGTAAGGTCACATTCAAGGAAAGTTTAAAAAAATCGTTTTTACTACTTTTATTTCAGAGACATTGTTGGATCGGAACCTCAAATTTGTTTAGATAAAAGAGAACCGAAAATACATCTCTTAATAAGTTCCTGTTTAGGACAAAGTTTGTCTTCAGACTCTTATTTCAAACGTCCTTATCAAGATGATTTATTTGTATTTAAATAAATTATTTAAGGCAAAATGTTGAGAAATCTTACCGGAGATTGGAGTACTCGGGGTAGTAAGTAGTTCCAACATCACTACAAGAGTTTAATGTTGACAAATTTAAAACAAATGCGCATCAGAGAAATACACTTCTGCCACGCTTTCCTTCAGTTAGTTTAAAGTATTTGATGGCAAGTTAAGTTTGTCATGTTTTAAACAATTAAGAATGCACAGCTTGTGGCTTTCAGAGCGCTTTGAAGCGTCACTCGCGGGAATGGCCGGCAATAACAGGTTTCGAAGCCTAAAAGGATTTGGGGGGGAAAAGAGCTCCTTCTGGAAAGAGGTTCGGGAATGAACAGTGTTCCGTTCCGAGAGAGGTTTTGGGACGGAAAAGAGCTTTTTTTCGCCATTTGACGTACTCAAAACCCCCAGCTACGCAAGCTACGCACAAATATAATAGCTATTTTTGCATGCAATTTATTCTTAAATTTGTTTTTAGCTTTTTTTTGTTCTTTTTGTTAGCACCAGAACTGAGATGAAACTTTATTTACACTCAAAATAAAGACTGAAATTTTAAGCTTTCCCATACTTTCATAATTAAGAAGTTTCAACATTATGCTATATTCCTTTTTAACTGCAATTCACAACCTCATTACCTCATTACTCAGAACTTAGGTTTGAGTTAATTTTTTTTCTGTTTTACTTAAATTAATTTCAAAGGATGCCCATACAACCATTATCTTTTAAGTTCAAGTTGCAACAAAAACGACAAGGAAGTGCAAGCAACCTGCGAACAGGCCCCCCATTATAAGCGCATCGACATGAGGCCTTGTGCAACATTAGCCAGTAAGTGGTCTACGGGGGAGGGGGGAGTCTAGGGCCGATAAACTCATCACTAGTGCGAGACCCCCTGGAAACTTCTCCCCATTTTGTCCCAAATCTTCCCGGGGGCGAAGAAACGCACTTCCTGTTACGTTAATAATAATGAGTGGCCTGCTTGCAGGCTAGAATGCTAGTAAAAAAAAAGGTTGTCGACAATGGTCGAGAAGTAGCCACGTGGAGATTTTAATATCGATGATTTTTAACCATACTTCGGACACCTATTTTCTTGGATAATCAACAATTAGCTGACATTCCATCGACGCTATATGAAGATACGTGTAAACGAAGAAACTTTGTGGATCAATTGCCGGTTTTCACTGTCACATCATCAAAACCATTCAGCAAATAAAGAACCAAAGAGATGAAAAAATATGAATATCCAAACAATCACGCAAAAACTGTAGGTCTTTGTGATAGCGGGAGATGTTCGAAGAAATATTTTACTCAATTTCATAAGGCTTAGTATGGAGACGACATGTTTGCGTCCCCCTGAAGGCCACAAATACGGCGGTCGAAAGCTAGCAAAACATGTGTCATATATCATTTTAAACTACGTAAAAGCATTCTCGGCAGCCATTGTAATAAAGTGCCGCGCAAAAGCTTAGAAATTCAACCCTGCCTTAACACAAAACGAAGAACCCTATCAAACTTAAAATTTGTAAAGAGATAAGTATTCAGCTGTTTTAAACTAAACTAAAATCTCAAAAGGATTGATGATTCCTTATTTTCTAATTTTGATGACGTCAAGTGAAAACCACGAATATCAGTATCTGTGCAACTTCCCACCTACCCCTTCCCCCCTTAACCCAACTACAGTCAACTGATACCAAGTAAGGGTTAATGTTGCGTTAGGGGAGGGGGGTGGGTGCGCTGTAGCTCAGATGATGACAAAGATCCAAATTTGTTGCAAGGGATTAGTTTAACTCGCTAACTTTTTCAGCGAATCAAAACCCACCTTTCTCTAACATCCTTCTTTTTCGAGGGAGTCTGAAGTTCCAGAGCAGTCAGTTTTTTTGGGCTGCGGTATTGCCAGGAATAGAAGGCCTCCCTGGATGAAGCTATCACGTGACTTCGAGTCATGGCAACGAAGAGAGGTTCTGTAATGATGGAAGGTTTCATACGCATCAATAAACAACTAAGGTGAGCCTGTTCGCCGGCAAAATCGAGTTACGATTCGAGTTACCAATCATAGCAGAAAATTTGGAGAACACGAGAGTGAGTTACTCGAGGTTGCGGCTAGCTAAGACGTACGTTCTGAACTGATGAAATGAATAAAGGGGGTAATCAAGTTTCTAAAGAAACTTTGGTGCTGCGTCTGTGAGAGTAACATGGTAGTTTTGTTTTAAATCAGCTGAGTTGATAATGTAAATTGTCCACCCTAGAGAGTTTCAAAGCTGACGTTTCGAGCGTTAGCCCTTCGCCAGAACAAATGAAATGAAATGAAAGCTCGACAGAACTAATGCAAAAAAACTGTGCAAATCGCGCTACCTTGCAAGTTCGTTTCATCTTTTAATTAAACTTTATGTACCTCTGAAGAGTAAATTGGTAAGTATAGCATAAAGGATAGTTCTTGTACATTATAAATACATGGCAAGTAGTAGGTTATAAGCAAAATGTTAAAAAGTGTTATGCCACACAGAGTTCTCTTCTTGACCCAGCTTACCTATTTCAATATACTTAGAGTCCAATGGAGTGCCAATCGCATTACACAGCACAAGAACATGCTGGAAAATAAAAACACAAGTAAGCAACTTCAAATTCGTTTTTGCTATAGAGCTGATTGTTTAAGAGAGTGTTCGGCGAGTTTTCCAGACAAATCCGAAACCGGCTGGGGTAAGGCAAAATTAAAGAACTTTGCATTACTTTGAACAATCCAATGAAAATTGCGCCGTACATATTTGTACTGTACCTGGCCGCTGCTGTCATCACCCCTTGTGGCCAGCACACAGTGTTCTCCGCAGGCTGTGATTGACAATAAGTTTCGCACGTACTTTACGTATTTCTAGTGAAAGAAAAAATCAAGAACATCGGGTAACAGATGAAAAAAAAAAATTGTATAGGGTAAGACATCTAAGCAAAGGTATCTTAAGGAAACATTGACACGTCGTGCAAACTCGCTAAAATCAAGGCGGTATGTCCTAACGACAGTTCGCTCCGGGCGACAAATGAAAATTCTCGTTCCAGTGCGACAAAATGTTGTCGTAATGCCCATACCCATGACTTCAACTCAGTCTTACAGGATGTAACTAGTTACCGGGACAAAATCATACTGCACGGACAAACATTTTGAAAATATCCTTAAGTCAAACGAAGCCAATCTGTCCAAGCGGCAATTAAATAGAAAAAAAAATTCACAACTTAGATCAAGAGGGCCAGCATTAACTTCCTTACGACTCCCAAGACTCCTCCTCTAAACATACACAAATACGCACCTCTCCATTTTTTGTATCCCAGAACACCACGCAGTGTTCCTGTCTGTCTGGCTTGTTGAATGCATATACCACAGTATTTGAGAAATAACCCCACTGAAAAGATATTTTTAAACATGAATAGAGGGTCTCAATTAGGTTAACAGATAGCCATAACCGGCCACAAAATTTAGCCGTTACGCGTAAAAATTGACAAGTTTTAACCAAGTCTCAAAAACAGTTAACCATAGAAAACAATTTCTGATGAAAAGAATGGAATGATATTTAACAATTATTCCACGAGCGCGCGTTGGATATGAGATGATAGATAGCCAACGAGGCGCGTAGCGCCGAGTTGGCTATAATCATCTCATATCCAACAAACGCGAGTGGAATAATTGTTTTATTAAAAAAAAAACGCCCCCAAGCTATTAGACAAATCTTCTCGACTTTATTTTGTGAGAAGAAACCGGATTTAACAATGTACAGAAATTAGATTATGGTATATTGGCTCATATACCATAATGGCTGAGCCAATAAAAAGTCTTGAATTGCATTATCCAATGATCCAGTTTTTAATAAAAACCGTTAGCCATAATAAGGCCAAAATTTTAACTGATAGCCATAAAAGCCATCACCCCACCAAGAGTCCCTCTTGATAGAAATATTACCTCCTGGTGACAAAATGTGAACTGTATGCATGTGCATCACATACATATACAATGCACACTGCCAATCAATTTATTATACTCAATTGTGACTGATTGTGATTCTGATCTCAGTAGTTTTTCCAATACAGGCGAAATTTTCATTCAAAAGATTCAATCTTCAGTGTTGCTACTATTACTCTACAGNTTAATTGTTTTATTAAAAAAACGCCCCCAAGCTATTAGACAAATCTTCTCGACTTTATTTTGTGAGAAGAAACCGGATTTAACAATGTACAGAAATTAGATTATGGTATATTGGCTCATATACCATAATGGCTGAACCAATAAAAAGTCTTGAATTGCATTATCCAATGATCCAGTTTTTAATAAAAACCGTTAGCCATAATAAGGCCAAAATTTTAACTGATAGCCATAAAAGCCATCACCCCACCAAGAGTCCCTCTTGATAGAAATATTACCTCCTGGTGACAAAATGTGAACTGTATGCATGTGCATCACATACATATACAATGCACACTGCCAATCAATTTATTATACTCAATTGTGACTGATTGTGATTCTGATCTCAGTAGTTTTTCCAATACAGGCGAAATTTTCATTCAAAAGATTCAATCTTCAGTGTTGCTACTATTACTCTACAGTGTATAATTTTATTGTTCAAAATTATATCCTGTCACCTGTTGTAATACTCCCTAACTCTCAAGATCCAATTAGTCATTCTCCCAAATGACTGCCATACATTCTCTTGTAAATTAGACAAGAGAATTCCATTGTATACTAAGGTTACACACTCTAACTGATAAGCTTGTCTGCTCTCTTAACTTGTTTGCAAGATAATGTTTTGGAATTACAATTGAATGGTTCAACCTAAAAAGTCTCGTAGAATCCACTCACCTTGTAATTAGGCCTAATGTTGGCAAAGTAGATGAACGAATCCACAGCTAAGGCAATGCGCAGCCCTCCACCTTCAAAGCAGGCTTGCATTATCTGTTTACCAGGTACTTTAAGAGTTCGCAGATGCTACAAACACAAACAAATCCATGAAATGAAGGTTAAACTAAGTTGAGAATTTGTTACTGTCAGTGTCAAGATAAAACCCACCAACCACTTGACACTTTTTAACTGGACAATGTGTTCGTATAATGTCTACAGAAGTTACAGAGGTTCATCAAGGAGTACTACAGTTACATGTACAAAAGTAAAGGCGAGATTATCTGACACCTACCTCTCCAAAAGGAGTATAAAACTGCACCACATTAACATCCTTGTCCTTTAGGAGAAAAAAAAATTATATAATTGTATCAAACAAAAGAAACGAATCAAATCTCAAACAAAAGAAACAACCACAAGATGAAGTCATACCACATTCAATTATGTCGTGGAAATAAATTAAGAAAGGCTTGACATTGTACAACCGAATGTACACCTGTACATGTCTAGATAACAAATTATTATACCAGGTAATTTTCTGTTCCTTAGTTGTTTTGTGAATATTTCAAGAATCAAAGCTAGGCATGTTGTTTTAATTTTTGAATGGTAATCATGGCCAATGTACTGAGTTTCGTGGGTAAACATGTCTAGAGAAGAGGTCCAAAGGACATCTAGAGTTCTTGAGGCAATTGTTTAAGTATGAAAATAAAAATAACAAATGAGATATTTTAACAGCAGTAATACCAGTATTATGCATTTTTCACACTCAATCAACAACTTGGGCCACAAAAGATGTTTGAGTGAAACGAGATGTACAAGACAAGATATTCCAATGTTCCATAACTTGCAATACTATAATTGTACAGTCCTGTACCTACCTGTCCTGAAGCTCGCTGTACTCCAGCAACAGCCAGAACAGACCCACAGTTATTCCATTGAATATTCATCACTGACATTGATGTGTCAATCAATATGGGACCTAAGTGCAAAATACAAGTATTACAATACTTCATGTGTAAGAATAGCACTTCCATGATCACGTGCTGTTACTCACACTCATCAGCCTAACAATGACTTGTGAAATCGAAAATAAAATTTGACTTTTATAAATTGGTACACTTTAACATTAACCTTGAAAATTTCTTGTTTTTTCCAGACCTTTCCTAATTTTAACCAAGGCAACCCTATACCACATAATTATTCAGTCTACCTGGGTTGTAAAAAAGACTCTAACTAACCAAATTGTGATACAAAGTAGGCAGCACAACATCAAACTCCCATGCTGAAAACAATATGCCAGTCATTGACAAGTATTTGAAATAGCCAATATGTTTTTCAGAATAGATAGTACATTACACCCCTTGCCAACTCAAAATGACGATTCTGGAGTATGACGAGGGGATGAGTACTTTTTAACACATGCCAAACCAACAAAATTCAATGACAAATAAAAAGAAAAAAAAAGGGAAAAAAGGAAATGAAAAGGTCCAGGAATTGGACTCAGGCTTAGCTTCCTAATTTTGATTGACTCAGCTGACCAGCTTGGCAGAAATAATTTGAATAAAATTATATCAACAAAGTAGAAATGGTAAATTGACCACCGTTATGATTATAAAAGCTAACGTTTCGAGCGTTAGCCCTTCATCGGAGCGAAAGGTTTTATAGACCATTTCACTCCGACGAAGGGCTAACGCTCGAAACGTCAGCTTTTATAATCGTAACGGCCAATGGCCAATTTACCATTTCAACTTTGCTGATACATTCAAATTATTTCGTTACCCCCACCAACACAGCCCCAAACAGTTTCTTTAGAAACTATTAGCCTTTATATTCAGCTTGGCAGAAACTCTCACAAATTCATTTCCAATCACTTACTCTCATCCAGTTCGTGTCTCATTATCTGCATCCGTCCAATGTCAAAGCACACTGCCAGGCAAGGACAGTTAGGCTCTACATATCCCTCTCGTCCATCGTACCTTCAAACAAGGAAAGAATTTCAATTGATATTAATAGTCAGAGCAGATATTAGCAGACAAAGAGACCAAAGGAAAACCCTTTAGCTAAGTAAGCCAATATCCTACTGTAGTCCAAGACAGTTACTCTATTTATTTATATATTTAATCACTTTCAGCATGAAGGTGCAGTTCTCAGAACAGAGCAACACTTCAAATCAAGTGTGCTTTTAATAAGTGAGGTACTCTGATAGTAAACTAGAGTTTTGCTCAGGGACACAATTTGTGCCACACTATAATACAGAATATCTAGTTGGTAGGACAATACAAAAGTTTGGGGTTTACCACTCAATCCCAGCGATCTTAACAGCTCCGGTAACATTGGTCAAGCAAAACAATGTCATCTTAGTCTACAAATGAGAGAGAAAAATTCAAATTTGTAGTCAAGAATGGTTTATATAGTTTTTAAACTGTTCATGAATGCTTACAGGTAGTTTGAATATTTAACAATAATCTGATCTGCTTTTGTTTTTGAATTTATTAAACCATCCATAGCTTTACCATATACACATACAGTACACCACTAAGTGAGATTTTGTAAGGATGGCTAGAAATCCTTAATGCTTTAACTCCAGCGGAACTCACACAAAAGTTGCCTGTGTTGTCAAAGATTTGAACTTCTCCATTACTAATTCCAAACACAATATTTTTTCCATCTGGGGACCATTCCACATTGTTGAGCTGCAGTCCTTTCAATTCCTTTCCCCAAATCCTGTTTCCATCAACAGAACCAACAATCACTGCCCCTGTAATGACATAATTATTCCAAAAAAAACACTGTCAATACACCCCTTCCTTGCCACACCGGCTATTGTAGCCACCAAGCTGCTGCCATATTTAATTTTTAAATAAAAACAAGACAATTGTTTCATCTTCTGCAAATATTATGTATATATTATTATAGGGCTGTGTCTCACAAGGACTGGGAACTACCGAATTCACGAATTTAATTGGCTGAAATCAATATTGAAAGCGGTCTAGATTTTCCCATCTAGACCGGCATCTAGACCAGTCTAGAAAAAAAAAGGTCCAAAGAATATAAAAAATTGGCATATAAGACACAGCCATATAATAAACAT